ACATGGGCCCCCTGGCCACGCTTGACTTTCTGGCCACATAGTCGACATACGGCTACGTTTACTTCCTCGGGCGGCTTGACGAAAAATTGCCACACCGCCGAGTAGGAAACTTTGCCCCCGATACTCCTCACTGGCTGACTGCTGCTTCCTCCGTGCACACCGGCACCACTACTGGCCGTGGTGGTAGGCTGCAGTGGAGCTGGTGCTCTACTCGGACGTTTGGCTCCACTGACACTGCTGCGACCCTGCCCTGCTGTCTCCTGGGCAACCCACCGACTGTTTTGCTCGCTGCCAAGCTGCCACCCTCTTCTCCTGATGATGCGGAAGAAATTGCCTGATGACGACGAGGCTGCCAAGTGCGATCAACCTCCTCATCATCAAGTAGGGTCTCCGCCTCACTACTAGCCCCCTCGGCTGCGTCTGGGTCAGGAGACAGACCTGTCTCTAGACCGGCTACCGAGCCACTCTCCTCGCCACTACTTCTTCGCCTGGCTGCTGAAAAGGCGGATGTCTCCCCCCGTTCCTGACCGCCCTCTGTTAGCTCTTCCTCACTGTACAGTGGGGCTGAGCCCACAGCATGCGATACTTCGCTTGGTGAGGGAACACCAAAGGACAGGGGCAGGTAGAGGACACGTGATTTCAGTGGGCTTGGTCCCGGGCCATGCCAACTAACGGTTGTGTCTGACGTACCCACCGACCGTGGCTGTAGGTGTCAGAGGTGACCTGGGAAGAGGAAGACGACCGAGCCAACCAATCGACGACGGCAGGGTTGTCGGTGGAGACACGACCGCTGGATGACACCGGGAGCACTGGCCTCTGGCTGCGAATAGTGCTGCCTCGACCCCTTCCTCTGCTGCCACGTCTGCTCGCTCCTAAAACATTGCCTCCTCTGCCACTCCTCTGCATGTTGTCTGACATACTCTTTAATTAAACGATTATGTGTCCCTGAGTAACAATTCTGTGTCCCTGAGTAACAATTCTGTGTCTGTGCGAGTAACAATTCTGTGGCCCTAGTAACAGTTCTGTGGCCCTCAGTAACAATTCTGTGTCCCTGATTAACGTTTCTGTGGCCCCAAGTAACAGTTCTGTGGCCCTCAGTAACAATTGTGTCTGTGTCTGTGCGAGTAACAATTCTGTGTCTGTGCGAGTAACAATTCTGTGGCCCTAAGTAAAGTTTCTGTGGCCCTAAGTAACAATTCTCTGGCACTCAGTAACAATTCTGTCTGTCCCTGAGAACAATTCTCTGGCACTCAGTAACAATTCTGTCTGTCCCTGAGTAAAAATTCTGTGGCCCTAAGTAAAGTTTCTGGGGCCCTGAGTAACAATTATCTGGCACTCCGTAACAATTCTGTCTGTCCCTGAGTAACAATTCTCTGGCACTCAGTAACAATTCTGTCTGTCCCTGAGTAAAAATTCTCTGGCCCTAAGTAAAGTTTCTGTGGCCCTGAGTAACAATTCTCTGGCACTCCGTAACAATTCTGTCTGTCCCTGAGTAACAATTCTCTGGCACTCAGTAACAATTCTGTCTGTCCCTGAGTAAAAATTCTGTGGCCCTAATTAAAGTTTTCTGTGGCCCTAAGTAACAATTCTCTGGCACTCAGTAACAATTCTGTCTGTCCCTGAGTAAATTCTCTGGCACTCTCAGTAACAATTCTCTGGCTCTGGCACTCAGTAACAATTCTGTCTGTCCCTGTCTGTGGCCCTCAGTAACAATTCTAACAATTCTGTCTGTCCCTGAGTAACAATTCTCTGGCACTCAGTAACAATTCTGTCTGTCCCTGAGTAACAATTCTCTGTGCACTCGTAACAATTCTGTCTGTCCCTGAGTAAAAATTCTCTGGCCCTAAGTAAAATTCTGTGGCCCTGAGTAACAATTCTCTGGCACTCCGTAACAATTCTGTCTGTCCCTGAGTAACAATTCTCTGGCACTCAGTAACAATTCTGTCTGTCCCTGAGTAAAATTCTGTGGCCCTAAGTAAAATTCTCTGTGCCCTAAGTAGTAAAATTCTCTGGCACTCAGTAACAATTCTGTCTGTCCCTGAGTAACAATTCTCTGGCACTCACTCCAGTACAATTCTGTCTGTCCCTGAGTAACAATTCTCTGGCACTCAGTAACAATTCTGTCTGTCCCTGAGTAAAAATTCTGTGGCCCAGTAACAAAGTTCTGTCTGTGCCCCCTAAGTAACAATTCTCTGGCACTCAGTAACAATTCTGTCTGTCCCTGAGTAACAATTCTCTGGCACTCAGTAACAATTCTGTGTGTCCCTGAGTAACAATTCTCTGGCACTCAGTAACAATTCTGTCTGTCCCTGAGTAAAAATTCTGTGGCCCTAAGTAAAGTTTCTGTGGCCCTGAGTAACAATTCTCTGGCACTCAGTAACAATTCTGTCTGTCCCAATGAGCACTAACAATTCTGTCTGTCACAATCAGTAAACAATTCTGTCTGTCCCTGAGTAAAAATTCTGTGGCCCTAAGTAAAGTTTCTGTGGCCCTGAGTAACAATCTCTGGCACTCAGTAACAATTCTGTCTGTCCCTGAGTAACAATTCTCTGGCACTCAGTAACAATTCTGTCTGTCCCTGAGTAACAATTCTCTGGCACTCAGTAACAATTCTGTCTGTCCCTGAGTAAAAATTCTGTGGCCCTAAGTAAAATTCTCTGTGGCCCTGAGTAACAATTCTCTGGCACTCAGTAACAATTCTGTCTGTCCCTGAGTAACAATTCTCTGGCACTCAGTAACAATTCTGTCTGTCCCTGAGTAAAAATTCTGTGGCCCTAATTAAAGTTTCTGTGGCCCTAAGTAACAATTCTCTGGGCACTCAGTAACAATTCTGTCTGTCCCTAGTAACAATTCTCTGGCACTCAGTAACAATTCTGTCTGTCCCTGAGTAACAATTCTGGCACTCAGTAACAATTCTGTCTGTCCCCTGAGTAAAATTCTGTGGCCCTAAGTAAAATTCTGTGGCCCTGAGTAACAATTCTCTGGCACTCAGTAACAATTCTGGCACTCAGTAACAATTCTGTCTGTCCCTGAGTAACAATTCTCTGGCACTCAAGTAACAATTCTGTCTGTCCCTGAGTAAAAATTCTGTGGCCCTCAGTAACAATTCTGTGGTGCCCTGAGTAACAATTCTGGCCCTGAGTAACAATTCTGTCTGTCCCTGAGTAACAATTCTCTGGCACTCAGTAACAATTCTGTCTGTCCCTGAGTAACAATTCTGTGGCACTCTTCTGTCTGTCCCTGAGTAAAAATTCTGTGGCCCTAAGTAAAATTCTGTGTCCTGAGTAACAATTCTCTGGCACTCAGTAACAATTCTGTCTGTCCCTGAGTAACAATTCTCTGGCACTCAGTAACAATTCTGTCTGTCCCTGAGTAAAAATTCTGTGGCCCTAATTAAAGTTTCTGTGGCCCTAAGTAACAATTCTCTGGCACTCAGTAACAATTCTGTCTGTCCCTGAGTAACAATTCTCTGGCACTAACTAACAATTCTGTCTGTCCCTGAGTAACAATTCTCTGGCACTCCGTAACAATTCTGTCTGTCCCTGAGTATGAATTCTGTGGCCCTAACTAGCTGTGTTTGTCCCTAAGTAACAATTCTGTGTCTGCCCTAAGTAACAGTTCTGTGTCAGTCTGTGTCTGCGAGTAACAATTCTGTGTCTGTGCGAGTAACAATTCTGTGGCCCTAAGTAACAGTTCTGTGGCCTTCAGTAACAATTCTGTGTCTGTGCGAGTAACAATTCTGTGTCTGTGCGAGTAACAATTCTGTGGCCCTAAGTAAAGTTTCTGTGGCCCTAAGTAACAATTCTGTGGCCCTAAGTAAAGTTTCTGTGGCCCTGAGTAACAATTCTCTGGCACTCAGTAACAATTCTGTCTGTCCCTGAGTAACAATTCTCTGGCACTCAGTAACAATTCTGTCTGTCCCTGAGTAAAAATTCTGTGGCCCTAAGTAAAGTTTCTGTGGCCCTGAGTAACAATTCTCTGGCACTCAGTAACAATTCTGTCTGTCCCTGAGTAACAATTCTCTGGCACTCAGTAACAATTCTGTCTGTCCCTGAGTAAAAATTCTGTGGCCCTAATTAAAGTTTCTGTGGCCCTAAGTAACAATTCTCTGGCACTCAGTAACAATTCTGTCTGTCCCTGAGTAACAATTCTCTGGCACTCAGTAACAATTCTGTCTGTCCCTGAGTAACAATTCTGTGGCCCTAATAACGTTTCTGTGGCCCTAAGTAACAATTCTCTGGCACTGAGTAACAATTCTGTCTGTCCCTGATTATGAATTCTGTGGCCCTAACTAGCGTTTCTTTGTCCCTAAATAACGATTCTGTGGCCCTCATTAACAAGTCTGTGTCCCTGAGTAATGGTTCTCTGTCCCTAAGTAACTTTTCTCTGTCCCCAATTATCGTTTCTGTGCCTAACTCTGTCCCTGTCCCTAGTACAGAGCGGTCTGCCTCTGTTCAATAACTGCAGGCAAATGAAGAATTCCAAAATGGCCGCTATTTATAGCTCGACCATTACACAGTGCTGGCTGGCTGGCTGCTGATAGGCTGATGCGATCACATGTAGTTGAGGAATGCATTATGGGTCAGCGCGCCTTGTCTGCGCGCCTTCCCAGACATCCCCGCTCCGTCGCCGCACATGTCAGCCGCCATTTTCTGAAAAATTTCGATTCGCGCGTCCGAATTAGGCTATTTTTCGGATTCGGCACGAATCGAAATTTTTCCGATATTCGACTCGAACGAATGAATAACCTGGATCATGATGGGGAAGTGTGATAAATTGTGTATATTTCATGCCATATTTGCAGTAAGTATTAAATCTGGATGAATAATGTACCTCATTTGTTTCTTTTTTTTCTAGATAAAGAAAATGGTATTTCATTCCCACTGAAATTTGTCCCTGAAAAACCTGGCCGATATACCTGCAAGATTTTGCTTCATTCCTCTCATGATGTACGAGTTTATATGATCGAGTGTGTCGTCAATCCAAGCAGCTCAGAAACAGAGTTTGAATTTATTACCCCGGCTGGTGAAGCACTGATACAAGATATTCCAATAGTAAGTTACATCACATGGCTTCATTATGTACACTTTTACAATGTATCCTTCTTGATGACTGGGCTTCAATCTTTTGTGGCTGATGAAGTGTTTTGATATCACAATGTTTGATATTTAGTTATGAATTCTGCTGCATGTCAGACATTTGTTTCAAGACTAAGAAACCTTGCAAGGGACATGAATATGAACACTTGAGGCATGCCATGCAATAGATCTTAGTTATCTGATGTAAAATTACAAGCCACTCTAAACATACACCATAAATTGTGAGTTGTGGTTGGATCATCTCTTTTAGAGCATACCCATAGTTTCAGAGGCAATTAACTTCCAGTTTCTGTTTTCCAGTGGTGAATGTTTTAGAAAACTGTGAAAGTATCACTTTCAAGACTTATCACATACAACTTCTAGTCGTGTGTACCATCTTTTAGGGTGCCATGTTTACCTTAGACCCAATCCATATATTCAAATGTGAAGAGTTGGTATAAAACAGCAACTGAAAATGCTGTGAACAATAGATTGGTGGAAAGTGTATGGTATATCTTCAGAGCTCTGCATAGTATTTTGTACATTGAACAGAATTCAAACAACATTGCAGAGTCTGTGGTCAACTTCAGGTGTGACAGGCTTAACTCTTGTGCAGCATTTTGAACTATATTGGGGGTGACACCAGATTTGTTCTCAGTCTAACCACTTTATTGTGATCAATGTCTTACGAACAAGACAGGTCAGTGGATGCCATCTTTGAGAATGCCAGGCTTTGGGAGGGAAATAGCAGTACTACATCTTTAGTAAGGGCATTATCCAACATTCTTCAAAGCCGCACAGTTTGTTATTTGCTGCAGACCCTCTTTACCTGCATAGTGATTTTTTTGGTGAAGGTCACCTTTTAAACCTAGTCACCTATGAAATCTGCTTGTGAAAAAGTCTTCCTGGGCGCGGCCGGCGGGACGGACATGTCTCCCTGAGGCTCCGCCACACTGCAGGGAAGCCAGCCGCCCGATCCTGACCCGCACCGTCACATAAACGGCTCTGGTTGCCGTAGCAACCCCCCTGCCACATGCCAGCATGGTCAGGGGAGCATCCTGGCACCAAGCTCCACCACCCAGCAAACCTAATTAGGAGGCCCTAGCACGAGCCTCCTCCAAGATGGCCACCGCACCCTTTCCTGGCAGCAAGCAGGCATCACAGAATTTTGCAGCCCTGCAGACAGAGCAACCAAGCCATCCCTACACATCTGAGGGTGAGTCTGATGTTGACCCAGAGACCCCCATACATGCTTCAACCCCTGATCTTACTACTCCTGACCTTCTCATGCGCTTTGAGAAAATGCTGCACAAAGCAATGAAACAGACCTCTGACTGCATCACAGAGAAGCTGTCCAGAGAAATCCGCGAACTTGGGCAATGCACTGCTGACCTGGAACAGAGAGTGGACGACCTTGACGCCTCATGTCAGACACATGCAGATGACCTTGACCTTTTGATTGATGAAAATGTGACACTGCAAACGCGTCTAGAGGACTTTGAGAATCGGGCTAGGCGCTCAAATGTGCAAATCCGTGGCCTTCCTAAGTTGGTTATTGACGTCCAATCAGCTGTCACAGCGTTATTCCAAGAGCTCACCCCAGCTATTCCGATAGAACGCCTAGAAAAATGGAAAGGGTTCACAGTGCACTAGCTCCAAGACGCACCGGCGGTCTACCACACGATATCATAGCCAAGCTCCACTTCTTTCGCACTAAAAAGCAACTTCTACAAGCTGCCCGAATGCAGAATCCCTCACATTCCAGGGCCACACCCTACCAGCTTTTCCAAGACCTCTGTTCCACTACCATCACTCACCAAGCGAAGGGCCATGAAACCACATCTACAAGCGTTCCAACAGCATGGCATTCCATACAAATGGAGCTTTCCCTTCGCAGTGCATTTCCGTTACCAGGCCCGAGACTACATCTGCAAGAAGCCTGATGAATTGCATAACACCCTGCGGAACCTCCAGCTGCACCCTCAATCAACACCAGCAGAAAGTTCCAGATGGAGATCAGCCTCATGCTCACCGCAGAAATCCCGCCCGCCACACCTCACCAACAGTCAACTCAACACCCAAAAACGAGGACGTTTTTCATCACCTGCTCCATCTCCACAAGATTCCATGGACTGAATCTCACCAGTCATCCTTCACCCTACAGCTTACACACAACAGAGTGGGACTCTGATACTACCATAGTTGACACCCATGGTGTCTGTTCCTCTCACCCCTCACTTAGATGCAGACGCTAAGCATCCGTATCCTTATATTAGCCCTTAGGGCTCATACTGTCCTTTTGGCCTCCTTTTTGTTCCCCCTTTTTCTCTCTCAATGTTTCAACATATACTGAGGAAAACTTTCTTGATGCCCCGTTTATTACAGGCCATCCTATTCTTTTGCCTCTACTGTTAAGTGCTTGTTGTGCCTTATATGCTACCTGTTGGTCTAATTTTTAAATGCTTATGTTTGAACTTATGTACGGGATCCTTGGTTCTAGCGGCACGGAAGATTTCATCCTCCCATCTCTGCTGACCTACCTGGATGGCCAATGCCGCCCGAGCCCAGGACCCTCTGACTCTCCTGTTTGCCAATCCTGATGTTCTTTATTCCCCCAGGATCGCATTGCGGCACTCACCACTAGCCCCTCTGGTATCGCGTTTTTGATACAACTCTGGCTATTACTGCACCCCAGACCATTTCCGGGTGATTCCGGGGACCACCTCCTCCTTGCCCTAGTATGGTCCACTATATTCCTCTCCCGATACCCTTCCCTATCTCTGTCCTCTCCCTTTCCCCCCTACATGACTCCACATCTCTGCCTGGCTCCTTGTCCCTCTCCACAGTCTCATACCTAGACTGCCAGATTCCCTTCCAACTGGTACCATCTTACTATCTGATTCACCACACGCTCTCCCCATGGGTTCCTTAAATATTCTCACCCTGAATGTTCAGGGCCTTAATATACCGCAGAAGCACAACAAAGCATTCCACTCCTTTGCTTCATACAAAGCCCATTCAGTCTGACTTCAAGAGACGCACTATTCTCCCTCCTCAACTCCCAAATTCTTTAGCCCCCGTTACCCACAGGTCTATACAGCCTCTGCCGCTACCAAACGCAGAGGGGTACTCATTGCCTTCCACCGTACGACGCCATTCACACTACATACTGAGATTAGAGACCCTGAAGGTCGTTATCTCCTGCTAACTGGGCAACTTCTTGACTTTGAAGTCACCATCGCAACGTATTGCGCCCCAAACCAAGGTCCCTTGCCATTTCTTTCCCACCTACTGTTAGTCTGTGGAGATTCAAACTGCACGATATGCCCCTTCCTAGACAAGTCCCCCCAACCTCCCCCTCTGCCCCCCTCCAAACAAACCCTCCATGCCATATTACAACGTTACTCCGTGATAGATACCTGGAGAGAACTCAAACCGATAAAACGCCAATACACCTTCTATTCCCATCCTCATAAGACATTCTCAAGAATAGATTACATCTTTATGACTGCTAGCTCTTCCCCCCAAATACTGGCCTCCTAAATTCTCCCAATTCCCTGGTTGGACCACTGTGCTGTGCTTACTTCCATTGCCTCTTTGGTCCCATCCCACGCTGATCCCTCCAGGATCATCAACAAAAATTTCCTAGCAAACCTGACACACTGCTCGGATATCGAAACCGCGCTCAAAGACTACCTATCTCTAAACCAAACTCCAGACATCTCCCCTCTCCTTCTTTGGGAAGCGCATAAACCTGTACTCCGTGGGTTCTGCATTAGTAAAACATCCTTCTTAAACAAAGAAAAGAGATGACAACGCCTTCTCCTAGAACAGACATATGACCAATCCCATCAAGCCTTCCAGGCGACCCCTTCCCCTGCCAACCGAGAAGTCCTTGAACAATCTCGACTGGCCCTTGATCTTCTCCTTACGGATCAGGCTGAGCTTTCTCTCCGTAGATCCCGACATAAATATTATACAAAGCCAATAAACCTGGTACCTTTTTAGCGCTTTCACTCCATAGGCTTGACCAGATTACCAAACCCATTCGACTACGCACCTCTTCTGATAACCTCACTAGTAATCCGGAATGCATTCTACACGTTTTCTACAAAGCATCTCTCACGACTCTGTTCTTCTTCCACACCCTTCGACTGTTCCCAGGCTGACACCCTCTTGGCTCCTCTCACCTTTCCTCTCACCTTTCACCTTTCCTAAACTCTCGGAACATCAATTAACAGCGTTAGAGTACCCCATCACCACAACTGAAACCCTAAATGCTATTAAACTCTTTAAGCCCCGTAAACGCCCAGGACCGCCACATATTACAAAAAATTTGCCCACCTCCTCACGCCTGTACTAACTAATGCCTTCAATGCCATATTATAGGGCCAAACCTTTAACCCAGACACAGTGCAAGCCAACATCTCGATGATCCCATGATCCCAAAACCGAACTCAGACGACACGCAATGGTCCAACTATAGGCCAATTTCCCTCCTCAATATAGACATCAAATTGCTAGCTAAAATCTTAGCCACACGCCTCAACTTGTGTATAGGGTCTTTAATTCATAATGACCAAGCGGGCTTTATACCAACTCGTCAAGCCGGAGACAACGTCTGATGCGCAACTCTTTTAGCACGCATAGTTCAATCTCGCATATTCCTGCCTGTTTCCTGTCCTTGGACATCCGGAAGGCATTTGATACAGTTTCGTGGCCATACCTGCACTATATTCTGTGTCAATGGGGCTTAGGCCCTCATTTTTTAACCTGGATCTTCTCCCTCTATTGCGAACCCTCGGCCAGAATTAAGTATCTTGGACATCGGTCTGCTCAGTTCCCAGTTTTACGTGGCACTAAACAGGGCTGCCCCCTGTCCCCTCTACTCTTTGCCTTAGCCATAGAACCGCTGGCCCTTCTGATTAGGACCAACCCGGATGTTCGTGAACTCGAGATAGCCACCCTCCACAAAT